AATGGCGAAGAGGTCCGGCTGGAAAAAAAAGTTTATGCAACGCCTGCGGATTGCGATATTCGAGAGAGACAACGAAGACACGGAAACAGGGTTAAAAAAAAAAAAAAAAAAATTGTGCCAAACCAGCATTTTAGCGCTTTTGCAGGCTTGTTATATATCGAGCAAAGATCGAGTCTAATCTTCGGAGTATAAAAACTTATCCAGTCTGATTGAGCTCGTCAAAAGTGGATAGAAAGGTATGCAAGGGTGTTCTGATTTCAAGATTTTATGTTGATGTTCCTCTTTTGGATCGATTCGGAAATATGGCCGGAGAAGATTTGAAATAGTAAGGTGTTGAAAGGAGGAATGATGATAATGTCGAACTTTGGCTGCTTATGTTGTTATATCATTTGAATCTGTTTTGATTCTTAAAGGTGGTGGAGAACTGTTAAAATGAGATGGAGAAATGCTTTGCTGTTCGTCTGAACGCATTGTTCGCTCTTGCTACATCTAGACTAGAATTTCTAATTCTTTATCAAAATGTATCAAGCACGTATCGTTCGAAAGACTTTAAATAATTGTTCAATTATGGAGCCCTATAATGACATCAAGTGAGAGAAGTCTATGCGGAGAAGATGGAAAAAAGTTTGGAATGGACTCAAATATTTATAAGTGATTTCTTGGACGCCGGTCTAACGCCCGTTAGGTGTGCGCCTGCATATATACTTTCTGCGAGTCTTATTTCTGTCTTACAGGTTTGGTGCTTTTATAGATTAGGATCAACTGAGCCTATTATATTAAAAGCCCGCGTTTTTTTTTTTGATCTCGATCACCGATCAAATTTAATAGCTAAACTTCTATTGTAAATGCTACGCGTCTCTGCCTACTTTTGTATATTCATTTCAACTAGGCGAAGCGCGATTCTCTACTGGAATAAGGTTTGAAGCTGGTGTAAGAGTGAATGATGGCATGCATATCTTTTGTTTAATTGAATTTATGCTCTATACAATAGATTTCGTTGACGAAAATGGTAAAAAACGAGCCGAAACGCTTGAATGTGAACGAACTATATCGGAAAAAGAAAAACAATACAATCTTTTAGATCCGCGCTCGTAGGCTAACACATTCTTCAATTCCATATAAAGTCAATGTCCGATCATTCTTTTTTCCAATTACTTTCTCTACCCTCGTCCCTTCTGACACTTTCTATTCCTGTGCAAGATAGGGAAGAAAGTTACCGTTGACGCTGACAATTAAACTTTGTTTCTCGCGTTCCCCTTGGTGAAAACGCGAAAGGTTGTCAAAACGCGATCTTCAAGCTCAGGCAGGTTACTTTGACAACCAAAAATTATTCCTCCTTTTCCTTTCTTTCAAAAAGTTTCCCTTTTTTCTCTCTCTCTCCTTTCGCAGAGATCATACCAGCTTCGAAGGTTATTCAAACAATCAATATATGATTTGGAGATATCGGAAAAAGCCAAGAAGATTTAGACATATGTGGAAAACAGATAAAAGATCTTTTTCATCATCTTTTCCATTTCACCATTCATCAAATTCCATCTATTTTTCTGTGATCCGCCACCCATTATTAAAACAAATATTTGTACGGTTGTAAGAGAAAGGCGGCTCAAAGAATAAAAAGTCATCGTTACTTTTCTCGACAAATTGAAAAGTTCACATAACTAATTCGACCTCAATCTCTTCTCGTTCAAATCTGATTGAATCTTAATACGCAAATGATACATGCAACAAACTTTCAAATGATTTCAAATACATCACCGATGGACTGTGGTCCGTTTATACAACAATCAAAAGAAGAGTTAGAGATTCAGCGGCTATTAAGTTCGACACCTTTTCACAATACCACAACACCGTTTCTTTTTGGCTTAGAGAGAGGAATGTTAGAGCAAGAAAGAGAATTGGGCTCAGGCAAACAGAATGATAGAGAAAGAAATCCTTTTGAAAACGTTGTATGCTGTATGTTTACGGCGTTTTTTTCTCACGATAAGATCACAATCTCACGCATTTCTTTTCCCTTGCAGATTGGGCAATCTTATCCATTCGATCTTCTGATCCTAATATGCAATTGAGCAAGTCAAATCTAGCAATTCTTCATCTTGATCAAACCTTGGAGGAATTATTAGGTTCTAGTGTTCAATTACTCAACGGAATAAGTGTACTAAATTTCATTCATCCTAACGAAGCAAGACGGATAGAGATGGAAATAGCACAATATACATCTGAAAGAAGAGCAAAGAGCAAGGTGCTACGATGTAAGATGAAAAGCATTACATCGATAGTTAGATATGCTCAATCTTTTTTTACTGGTTATTCTTCAGCAAAATTAAAAGACGATGATTATCAAATAACCGACATTCGCTTAGAGCTTACGGGAGATGGAATGATGTTATGCTTCTTTCATGCTGTCGAGGGTATAGATGATGATGAAAATAAACAATCTCAGCGTTCAGAATGTTGTAAGACAATGTGAAATACGTTTAACGATCAACATTGTCAAAAGCTTTGGCAACACATCTTTTTTGAAAAGATGATCGAGACTTCTTCATCAAAAGTCATCGAAAGACATTGGAACGGTTTTCCGAAAAAGATTTTTCAAATTTTATCAAATGTTTCACAATCGAATGTTTTGTTTTCCTGGCCACCGCCAAGAATATTTGATTCGATGCAGCAGCAACAACAACAGCATCACGACCGAAGCAAATCCAATTCAGACATTTATATGGGCTGCAACAATTATTCTGCAAACGAATTTGCTCGTTTAACATACCAATCAACGTTTCGAAAAACTTTACTAGCAAGACCTGAAGAACTAACAACATGTAAACGAAGTCAATCTTTATCATTCAACGTACTTATAGACGGTTTAGACATAGATTTGGAAGCAATTGTCATTCCGCATGGAGAGATCAAATTTGCTATATTTTCTATTCATAAAGCAGATGTTTCCTTGGCGCGACTGACTGATTGCAACGACTGGTCAAAAGATGAGCAAATTTCCTCCCCTTTTACATTCGATCGAGGCCTTATATCACCTTTTCCTACTACTTTTCAAGAACAATGCAATCAACTTCTTTCCGCGCAAGGGCCACCAAAGTACAGGTTTCCAATGTCCCTCCCATCGTCTTCATCGTTGATACCTACACTGACTCCTCCTATGGCTCAACAGGAGTCGCTAACAATTTTCAAGGCAGATGATGATATTCAAGCTCATTCACACATGAATCCAATCTCATACGAGGGTATTGCCACTAACAACAAAGCTGTCTCATTACAAACGCAACCTGAAGTAGATAGCGGCGATCGGAAACAAGTTGGACATACGTCGATATACGAATATCAGAATGGATTAACTCCTTCTTCCTCTTCGCCAGCTTTTCCTCTCTCGTTTGCCAGACCTAGTACAAGCCCGAAAATGAATTCAACAACGATGATAAAAAAGTGTTTAATTTGCGGAACATCAGATAGTCCAGAATGGAGAAAAGGATATGATGGAAAGAAAAGCTTTTGTAACGCTTGTGGATTACGATTTTCTAGGAATAATAGAAAACGTAGAAAGGAAGAAGAAAATGCGGAAATTGCAAACGAAGTTGCTGCAAATGGTGGTAGAATACCAGCTCATATACGTGATAGGATAGAAAATGGACGTAATCGAAAAAAGATTGAGCTATCGAAAAAGACAAAACAACAACAACAACAACAACAACAACAACAACAACAACAACAACAACAACAACAACAACAACAACAACAACAACAACAACAACAACAACAACAA